GGGGGCGGGCAGCTCCGAGCACCGGGCCCACGTTCCCAGAGCCCCGCGGCCCCCGGCGCGTTCGTCCCCATAGGGCGGCTCCGAGGCCGGGTGAAGCAGTGGACGGACCCCAGCCGTACCGGGCCTAGCCGCCCCTCTGCCCGCCTGCACTTACCTGCCCTCCTCCTGACGTCACTCCGCGCCCGTCCCGGAAGTCCCTGCTGGGCGCGTAAGGGGGCGTGACGCACTCCCCGCGTGACAGGGACGCCTGCGCGAGGCGGGGCGAGGCGGCAGCGCAGCGCTGACTGGATGAATGTCGAACACGCCGCTCGCTCACAGCCGCGGAGTGGACCAATCAGGGCCTGCCCTTCCCAACTGCGCGCACTACACGTTGCCCCACCCTCGGCCCCGCCCACTTTGCCTGACCCATTCCGAGGACCGCCTTTCTGATGATGCTCTTCAGAGAGCGGGTTTTCGCCAGCTGAAGCGGTGGAGCAGACTCCAGCTCCTGGGCCAAATCAAACCAGTCCCTTGTGTTTGAATGGCTAGCGAGTTAACAAATGTTTTTAAATTTTTACATGGTTGGGGGAGAATCAAAAGAATAACATTTTATGACTTGTGAAAATCAAATGAAGTTCAAATTTTAATGTCCGTGTATAAACTTTTATTGGAATCCATCTGCGCCCACTCATTTACCTGTCTGTAGCTGCTTTCCCACTACAGTGGCAGAATTGAATGGTTGTCACAGAGCGCCTATGGTCCATGGAGCCTGAAAATGTACTGTCTGGCCGTTTACGGAAGTGGGTCAGCCCTTGTCTTAGAGCCTTCAGACCACCTCGATTTTGCCTTCTGCACAGGGCAATGGCTTTTGAATGTACTTTTGTGCCTTGTAGAGTTTAGCAAAATCTGTTTGTTCATTTGTTCGCTCAACAGCTGTTTACTAGGTGCCTGCTATACGTCAGGCCATGGGGATTATGGAGCAAAGGACACACCCTTTTCTCACTGGTGAGGCTGGCATGTCAACTGGCAATTTATCGAAGACAGTGTGAAAAATGATGACACTGGTACTGCTATGATTGCTACTATTACTATACTATTTGGTGCCAGGCCCTGTTCTAAAGCTCTCATAAGTCAGATCTCGTGTAATCATAGTGCTGCATATGGAGTGCTCACTACTCACAAGACATCATTCACCAGTGCTCACTAGTCACATGAATCACCTCAGGGAATGCTGATTCCAGGAGATGGATACTCTATCATTTTCATTTTACAAATGAGGAGACAGGCCCAGAGAGATTAAGCAAGTGGCCCAAGGTCACACAGCTAGTGAAAGGTGGAGGATTTGTCTTACATCTGCTGACACTAAACCTTGTTCCTTTAACCTCTGAGCTATACTGCTTTGGGTTGTATGCATTAAACATAAGGGCTCTGGGAACCAGGAGGAATCTTCAACAAGGGTGGGGTGTTTGGGAGCGGGCAGAAGTGAGGGTGAGCAAGACCCCTGTGATGGGTGACACCGGAGCTGGATAAAGAGAAGCCAGGCAGAGGAAGGGGCGGGGCAGGGCAGAGGAATGCTTACAGATCCTGAGGAACAAGATGGAGCTGCATTCAAACCCCAGTAATCTTGCTTGCTACCTCTGAATTTTGGTTGAGTCCTTGTCTTGCACCTGAAAGAAGAGCTAGTGACTGAAAAGCCACAAAATACTCCCTTGTGAGTAATATTTTAGTGAGAAGTGTGAGAGCCCTTGGCTTTCAAGGGGTGTGTAGAGCCTCACTCTTTTTTTAAAAAAAATTCTTTATTTGTTTATTTTTAATTTATTTTTGGCTGTGTTGGGTCTTTGTGGCTGTGCACGGGTTCCTCTAATTGCAGCGAGTGGAGGCTACTCTTCGTTGAGGTGCACGGGCTTCTCAGGGCAGTGGCTTCTCTTGTTGTGGAGCACAGGCTCTAGGCGCACGGGCTTCAGTAGTTGTGGTGCGTGGGCTCAGTAGTCGTGGCTCGTGAGCTTAGTTGCTCTGCGGAATATGGGATCTTCCCGGACCAGGGCTTGAACCCATGTCCCCTGCATTGGCAGGTGGATTCTGAACC